TTTGTCCCTGCTTATCCTTCCTGAGGAAGCTGTACCCTTCAATAACAATATTCCAGCCATGTGTATTATCCCACGAAGTCTCTGTGATACCAACTATGTCATAGTTGTGTTTGTTTATTAGCACTTCAAGTTCTTCTTGCTTCCTTCCCATACTTCTTGCATTTGTATATAGGCATTTAAGATATTGATTTGATTTTTGCTCCCAGTTCTGCCTTGTTCACCTTTATCTCTGCTATTATAACCCATGCTCCCTCCCATTTCTGACCCATCTCCTAGGTCTCTATATTTTTCATTTCTTGTGGGCTTTGGTCATCTGCCCCTGTTGAACTTAGTTTAAAGTCAACCACAGTTTAAATGATTGAATCTTGACAAGTGATGTGCCTTCTGTAAAGACTTTACTGTTACTCTTAATGAATAAATATCCTGCAAGACGAGATTGTCGGATCTGAGGTGACAGTTGTTGACAATGACCCTTTACTAAGGCACATGGGTGCCAGCTGAGTTTGTCTCCATATATTACGTGTATATGTATACGTGACTTATCTGGTGTTGTTCGGGTCCCTAACTCAAATAATGTTTGTTTTTTGGAAAATAAAATGAAAATGTATGTGCTTCATTTTAATCCATTGCTCTGGGATGATGGGTTCAAAATGCAAGACAGCTCCAGGGATACAGGACTACCTCAGCCCTCTCTCATGGCAGCAGCTTGGTGCCAGGTGAGAAGCACGTCTCCAAGGCCCCTGCAGCTCCAGCAAGCACAGCTTGTGAGGGGTGCATGCCCCCTTGCTAGGGCAGGTCCAGGTTTGTCTGTCACCTGCAGTCCCCGGGCAGAGTGAGTCATGCAGAAAACTGTGCACTTTCCCCTCGCTTTCTGATTAAGGGAAACACCGAGTAATGTTCCTGTACAAATCAGAGGGGAGCTTCAGGCCTGCTGTTCTCTATAAAGGGCACCTGGAATGTGGGGGCCTTGAGGTTGGGGCAGTACCAAACTGGGCTGGGGGTGTCCCTAGCCATCTCCTTTCACCTGGCTGGTGATTCTGCTTCTTTTTTGTATGGTTTAATGAGAAAGCACATTCTAGGCACATCCCATTTGCCTGGCACAACCAAACCCTTACTTTGCTTTAAGTTCTGATAAGAGGAAGCTGCATAGTGAAATGGTGGTTCTAGCTCTCATGGTTTAGGAGGAGTTCTTGAACAAACAGACTTATAGACAAATAGATGGACTCACAAGCGCACACACACACACACTCCATAATATATACATATTGGCTTTGACTGTGCCCTTTCTGTGAACACATGGTTTATTTCTCCATAGAGGATGGAGAAATTTGGGCCCACTAAAAGGTGCTTTCTCTCACTAAGTTAATAGGCAAATATGGAAGTAGAGATGGCTCAAACTCAGGACTTGGATTCAGTCTGAGAGGCTAGCTAATGTGGCGTTGTCCTTATGTCAGGGTCTCCAGCCCTGGAGCAGCTTGCATGGCAATGCTCCCTGATGGCCTGCCAGTTGATTTGGCAGGGAATCCAGTCTGTGACTCAGTTTGTTACCTGACTATCAGGTTCTGGTTCAACAAATCAGCATTTTCCAAAATACCCTGCTTTTGTCAAATTTCCAACCACCTGTACTTTGAACTACAGCTGGAACTCTTTCATGTGGCTCTCTCTGATCTGGCAACATCCGTGGTCCGGCTTGATTTTAGCAAGCTAGATGTCAATTTATCATGGGTGTGGCCAGGTTTTCCATTATCCCATAAAGTTTGTTTACAGCCATCAGTCCTGGCTCTCAGGGTGTGTCTATACTGGGAAGTTATTTTGAAATAACCCCCCTTATTTTAAAATAACAAGGTGAGCATGCACACCACCAAGCCTGTTATTTCTAAATAATTACTTTGCTTGTGAAGAGGAATAAACTTATTTTGAAATAATAACTCCCAAAATAACTATTTCAAAATAACCTGGTAGTGTAAAAACAGCCTCATTGTTCTGTGGTGTTTAGTTCTAATGTCTTCTAAGAGCCCAGTAGGCAGTGGAAGTGTTAGTAATAGGGTTGCCAGGTGTCCGGTTTTCTACCGGAAAGTCCAGTATTTGTGTGCTCTGTCCAGTAGAAAAATTTAGAAAATACCGGACATGCGCAATGTCCAATATATTCTGAATTTCTGGCTGGGTGCTGGACAGAAGCCTGGCGGGGGCGGGGGAGTTACTGGGAGGCAGGGCCGCAATTGGCACTGGGAGTCCTGTGGTCACGTGCAAAAGCTGGGCAGAGCGGGGCAGGGCGGGGCCAGCAGCTGGGACTCCTATCCACCCCCCCGCCCGGCTTCTGCACACAACAAGAGGCTCTCAGTGCTAATTGCGGCCCCGCCTCCCAGCTGGGAGCCTCTGGTTAAGTGCAGAAACCGGGCGGAGGGAGTAGCTCCCAGCCACTCCCCCCGTCCCCCCCCCCCC